ATTTGAACTAAAGAACATAATGTCTCTTGTTTTCAGGAGTAGGAATGAGGCTTACTGATGTGGGAATAGCCACCTGTAAGAAAGGGTGAGTATTTATTTTGAGACCAATACTAAAGCATGTTTCCTGTTGCATGCAAACAGATGTATTAATACATTATTATTTATTTTTTAGATACAAGGGCTTCAAAGGAAACTGTGCCACCTCCTTCATTGACCAGTTCAAAGCTTTGCACCTGTGCAACATGTACTGTGAGCTGCTGGGCCTCAAATCCCTGCAGCCCAAACCCAGAAAGGCTCCATCCGCCCCCAAAGCCAGAGCCCCGCCCCCTGCTGCTCCCAAGAAGAAAACCTTTGGGCCGACAGTGAAGGGAAAGTCATAGTAGTGGGAGAACCTTGGACTATGTTTCAGTATTCTATTGACAAGCTGAGGTTTTATGTGATTTGCTCCTCCAGTCATGCAGAGATTGGCCTGTAAAACATGTATGACAGAAAGGTCATTCTGAGCTGCAGACGACGGAGAAAACAGATGTTTTTCACTCGTTATACAACCAGCAGCTGTTGTTTCACAAGAGTTTTTATTTTCTTCATCTTGTGTTGAACATTTAAGAGATATAATTTATTTAAATGAGATGATTTCTGTTTCAGAGTGTATTTATAATCCATTGGAGGACACTTTATGTCATGGAAAACTGTGACAAATGTAACAAACACTTGAAAACGATGCTAACGTTGAGTTTGTGTTGAAAACTGTGACGTCTTAGAGATTGCTTTATTTTTGAGGTGCAATGATTCTTCTTGTTTTTTCTACTTTGGTGATGTTTTCAAACTATTAGTTCATTAAATTAATGAACTTGTTAATTCATTGATTAGAGAAAATGTCTTTTAGGTAGGTTGTAAATACACACGGTGAAGGATATGTTTTTATGTTCAGTATGAGAGGTGAATTTGTGCGTTTGGTTTGCAAGGTATTGTTTATTCAGTTTAATGTGACATGATGTAATAAAAGCAGGATATTCAGGATAATATCATATTTTATTCTGAAAACAACAGAAAATACATTGTGTACACATTAACCTCACATAAAGTATGATTGAGAGATTTATTTATATATCATTTTATTGTCTGGTGCAGTTCTGACTGTTACTTTTATTTGTATGTCTGACATCCTTCAAGGATCTATAATCTATTTCAGATAAAGTGAACGGCTTCAAATTAATCCTAAAGCTGACATCGAGAGCCACATTTCACCATAGCAGCTTTTTAATGATACCCCTCTCTGTCAAACCCTCACTGTTGTCTTTTATATTTCTGAACTAAGTTGCTGACATAGTTCTCAGGTTATGGTAAATATGTAAGCACACAATAGATCTGTTTTATTAAAGACTGGTTGAAAACGCTTTCTAATTTTCTTCTTTAATGATCAAATCAGGATTTTGACACTGTATTTAATTGAACATTGGGCTGGGTTTGATGGTGTTTCTTTGTCTATCAATATATATCAACAGGCAATTTTATATAAGTACTTTATATCATAACAGTTTTTTCGTTTTTCTTTTTTTTAAGTTTGACACAACACAAGGAATGGCGGCAGCATGAAAACAAATGGCACGTCTATTTTTATTTATCCTCACAGGAGACGTCTCTAGCAGCAAGTTAGCACCTCGAACAAAAAGTAAGTGGGTCACACTCAGAGGCTCAACATCATGCACGCCGTATCAACACTGCAACACAGGCTGGTGTAGTGTGTCCCCTATGTGTTTCAGGCTGTACAGCAAGAACTCTTTAAAATAAAAGCACTTTCAAGAGTTAGCTTAGGCCTTGTACCCAATTCACCAGCACTCACAAAGGTATGACTATGAAAATATCTGCACTCTCCTTGTTGTTCGGAGCTGGAATCTCAATGGTTTTTGCATTCATTGAAAGTCACTTTGGATAAAATCGTAAGCCAAATGTAATGAGGAAACTATAACAACTAATGCACGAGACACAAAACAAACAAAAAGGTGGACACCAGGAAACTGAGGACTATCATGAGGTCTGTTTCACACTGGAGATATTTAGTGTGATAATGGCGTTTGATTCACAGGACACAAACACCATTGTCACACTCCACAGCTCTGGAGGAAAGGGTGTACTGAAGATACTGCACACAGAGGGGTTGTTAATATAAACTGGTAGGCGGGTGATCTGGGGAAAGAAGAGGAAGAAAAAGTTATTTGTGGAATCAATAAGAGCAATGGAGAGAGTTAAAGTGAAAAAAAACAAGGATTATGTCAAACAACACTTGGTTTTACACATGTACAAATCTACTATAATGTTGTTCTCATTGATTAAGTAAATACACAAGGCTTATCCGAAATGTCCAAGGTCCATATCTTTTTTTTAACCGATTGTGGGGATGACTGCAGCTGTTTGCATTTGAAGTGTGTGAGAAAGACTAAAATACCACCTGTGTCATTTTCTTTCTACCTCAGAACCTTCAAACTGCACGTCACAATGGATTTAATACGTCTGTATCGTTTCTTCTTTTAACTATATAACATTTTGAGCTGAAAATGACACCATAGTTTAATCTTAACCAATAAAACTGAGTTAAAACCATTAATAAAGGCTCCATATAGATTGTAGAACAACCAGAAATGCTATATTTTATTGATAGAGGTTTTTTTTTAAGTACTCAAAGAATCTCTCACCTCAAGTTTCTAAAGTGGATCCTCTGTCCAGGATTCATCTGGTGACTCTCCTGCTCCTCATCCTCCTTCCCCTCGCAGTAGAGATCTTTGTGTCTCTTCCAAACAGTTAAAAGTCCACTGGTGCGTCTGGAGCTGCAGGTTCATGATATGTGGTGCATTTTGGTTTGGTGCTGTCCCGTTCCAAGTCTTTATATAGACAGAGCAGGGTTTGGACAAACAGCCAGTTGCACATTAGTGATAAGCTACAAGGGAAGTATCGATCGACCCTGACCAGAGGTAGAGGGTGAGGGGTGGAGGAGGGGGAGACCAACAAAAAGTGCCCCGCCGGTGAGGCAACTGGGCCTGAACACCAAAGATTTATCTGAAAGTCACGAGCCGACGGTTCCTGACAGGAGAACGTGGAGGAGCTGAAAAGAGAGGTTCACAACCTGAGTCCAGAGTTTGGGGTACAATTAGCCCATCTTAAAGTAAAAGCAAAAAGCAAAGCATCAAAGAGTCAAGTCAACCCACCTCCATTTATTTCACAAGTTAAAGAAAGGAAACACAGATTCTTTGTAGTCAATGGATGAAAAATAGTTGATAGATACTTTGTAGGAAGTGATATGTCCCCAAAGATCCATTGCATCATAAAAGCATATTATGAAATAGATTCTCTTCACACTCTGAACCTGAACAATAAATCAGGGATTCCCAACTGAGGGGGCTTCTGAAGATGCCAGTGTCAAACAGTTTCACCCTTAGTCTGTGAAGCTTTACAGAAATAGCAACTAGCACGTTTGAAGAAATGTCTTTTGTAAATTTATCATAAACCTTGCAGTGCAAAAAACAGTGCACTTTAAGGAGGTACATTTTTTGACCCTATTCAGCTGTAGCGTATTTTAAAATGTATTTTTATATGCAATACTGTTCAGGTATGTTAAAATGATTATGTTACATAAGTGTTAAAAGGTGTTTAGAAGTAACAATAAGACAAGTCTTTTAATATTTGTGTTGATTGTTATGAACAAATTGCCTTTTTGCCCACACGTGAGGAACAAAATCAGAGTTGATAAAATAATCGTGGTTGATCATTCTTTTTATTTATTGTTTTTATCTGTTGTTTCAGGATTTCAGAGGCCTGTTGGACTGTATTATCTTTTTATAGGAAACTAACGAAATGCTTTTGGACCTCTTCTGATTTACCTTATTAACTCTCACCTGCACTTTGTGACTTTATTTTTCGAGCCGCTGGAATGCTTTGGAAGGAGGATCTGAAGAGAGTTGGCCCTTGGTTTGTTTGTGACCAGGTTGAGGGGAGCAGGGCTTGATAAAATGTCCCCGGACAGGCGGGGGGGGCTTTTATTTGCTTGTCCTTGGAGCTGATAACTCTTAGATTGGCTGTGTGAATGAACTGACGTCCCTTCACCACACCACATGCGCACACACACACACATTTTATTTCTAAAGACAGGTGCTCTGAATAATACAAAAAAATCAAATAATGTCTTTAAGCAGCAGCAAATGTCCATGTTAGATTATATATTTTTTTTTATGAAAATAACCTTTTGTTGTAAAAGCAGATTATTAATTTGACAAATGGTACACTTGAAGTAGCGCATTTCTGTAAAGATATAAATCAGAAATGATTTAAAATAAATGTCAGATATTTATAAATGTACTTTTTAATGTTTTATTTTTTATAAATTCATCTTGCAAGTTGTATTGTTTCTAATTAGACTTGTGCACATAATATAATACTAACTTTTCGTCTGATCAGAATGAATGAACTAGCAAGTAAACATTTTAGTATTTTATTTAGCATTCTTATTTACAAAATGCTCATGTTACAATTCATAGTTGCCTGTACTTTCTGTTACTTTTGGATTGCCTCAATATCAAATGCAGTGCACATAAATACAAATGATATTGCTTTTACTTAAAAACATTAAGTTAGACAACAGATCAATGTAACCTTTTAAACCGGTTGTTCATTAATCTATGTCACGCTTTGGACCAACAATGAAAGTTGCGCAATACAAGACAACATACAACAGTTTACAAAACAAAACATCTGCATTTGAAATCTAACATAATAATGGACTGGGAGATTTGCTATACAGTAGCTTCACTCATGACCTGTTTTGCTCTGTGTGTAAGCATGTGCTTCAATATATAACGTTCTTTATATTTTATTTGAATGTACTGTAACATTGTAATCATGCTAGTAATCCCCATTTTAAAGAATGTACCTGTTACATGTAATCTGTTACTCCCCGAGCCTGGTAATATATAAATAAAGCTATAAAGTGAATTCACTCAAACAACACGTTCTGAGAAGTTTCATTTTTATTTGACTGAAGTTAAATGAACCACAGAGAGTTGCAGAGAGTGGTGGAATCTTTAACAAAAGAGATATTTCCCGTCATTCATTAAAAAAAGGTCTAATCTTTACAGAGTAGTTGGGGTGGTGGGATCACGGGAGGGAGGGAGGAAACACAAGGGAGGAGAACAAGGAGACAAAAGAAAATAAAGACTTAAAAGATGTGAAGTTTCTGCTTCACTTCCGTTTTCCACCTTAGCAGCAGCCCAGATTGACAGACTATTTATATTGCACCAGGTAAGTGCTCCGAATGGGAAAAAAGAATCACATTCAAGTTAATGGCAAGACATACACTAGGCGACATGACCTCAGAGTGATCTATAAAGTGCCCTTTAGGTTCAATGGTGTTAGAAAAAGGAGAGAAACAAAAACATAAAAAAAGAAAAAACATTTTCTTTGTAAGAAACGTGCTGCTTTATATTCAGTGGCAATCACAGCTTTCTCTCAAACACCCGCGCACGCAGCTTCATTTTTTGTGTTTTTGATCAGTAATACTTAATATTCACATATATTTATATATCAGGAAAGAACTTAAAATGTGTTTTTTTTTTCCAAGAACCATTTACAGCATTATGAACAGCAACAGGCATGAGAATATTAATATAATCATTACGCAAACATCTCGGAGGAACTGTCCCCAAGTGTTAAGATTTCCCTTCTCGACCAATTACACGTCCAATTTACTACCATGTAGTCAAAGCAAACACAAGATACGGTTTCATGCTGCTCTCATAGCACTACGATAAAAAAACATTTGATTCAACACATTTGCTATCACCATAACAAATGATATGGATTAAGTATTCCCCCGACTAGCCAGATTTACACTTCACACGCCAAGTCGTATAGAATTGTCAAATAGTAAACATTGTTCATCAGTACAAATGGGTTAAGAGTATTTTCCTGAAAGAATCATACCAATGATTTAAAAAAAAAAAAAACTATTCGAGGAGGACAACAACTATATGAAAAAATCTTTGGGGATTATTTGATCCCCCTTTCTTGAATTCTTACCAGTGGCTAAAAAAAAAAAGGGGAAACTACAAAAAGGCTGCAGCGGCGATTTTGATCACACAACAAATAGACAAGGCTCTACGGAAGGGTCTGGCCGATTTCCTGAACTGTGATTGGCTAGCATTCCTAAGGTAATCTGGTGTTGGTCTAAGTGTTTGAGAGAGTTGTGATCATAGTGCCTTTGCCGTTTCTTACAGAAAATAGTGCATGTAGGAGCCAGATTAAGGCCATGCTAAATCCACTGCATTGAAGGGTGCTTAAATAATGTGCTATAGTATATGTAAGGAGCTATTGAAATGCATTAGTGTTTTCCAGCACTGTAGATTTTCACAGGACGAGGGTAGAGGGGGAACAAACGGCAGATTAGGGGCCAGCTCATTCATCACTCATGCCTGCGGATAAAAGATGTCAGCATTCAGCAGTGCGGCACTCCCTTTCTTCCCCCAGCACCTTTAAGGAGTGACCTACCCACTCTGAAGAGATTTAAAGACGTAGGCAAAGTTGCTGGACAAATGGCTGTACAGTCTGAAGCCAGCGTGCCGTGGAGGGGACTCACAGTCAGGCGTTACAGGACAACATGCTCGCACACAACTGCTACAGCAGCTGCTTCCATATCCCTGTGGTGCATTCTTTCTTTTTTAATTTAAATTGTTGGTTGGTTCGATGCAGTCAGAGGCTGCCGCTCTAGTCAACGCCCTCGAAGCCCTGCGCGTTCTCCACAGCCATGAGGAGTTTCTCTCTCAGGTCCTCAAAGGATTCGTAAGTGGGAAGATCCAAGCGGTTGAAACTGGGGAAAGAATTGTATTGCAAGTTATAAAAACTCCACATTTGGTTTCAAAATACAGCATTAAAACGTAACTTTAATGAACTCCACTTAGTAATTGTAGCCATTGAAGCTGCATGGCTATTTGTCAATCTGTCAGTCAAACCGTCCACTTTGGTACAGGTACATCTCAACAACTGCATGCTAGAAGTATTCTTGGTTCCCTGACCTGAGTGACCCTTTATTTTCCCCCAAGCATAACCATTAGGTACAAATTTGTAATCTTTTGAAGAACTGGTTTTATAACAAAACTCCCTCAAGAAGTAAACCACATTCCCATCAGCCTCATCTGCACTTTGGGTCAAATGTTATTAGTTACTTAGCATTCCCTTTCCCACCCAAAGAAAAAGCTGTTTATGTTCGTTTTTTATTTAAAAATATGTGTCGGAGAGAAGTTTTATTAAAACAAAACACAAGTTCCATTTGTATATCTGTTGTTATTTGGCCTCTCTTTCAATCTGTCAAACCAGAGCTGGTGATTGTTGGAGCAGTTGAAGACCAAAAGGCGAGTTAAAAGTACTTTTGTGATGGATTGAAGGAGAGCAAATCAATTGTATGCTTTGTATTATCAAAATAATTGTCACAAAAAACAAAAAAATTCCCAAATTGGGATCAATAAAGTACTATCTTATCTTATATTTAGTTAAATACATCTAATTTAGCATCGCGGAAAAGGGGCTTGATTATCATGTCCATGCGGCTGACGTGTTCTCTTTAGAGGAGCTGTAGCCGATAAATCCTGTCAATACTGCAGATTTTTCCCAGGATTAAATACATATTGTTACTTTTCTACTGAAACAAAAGCCAGATGGAAAAAAGGTGAACGTGGTAAAATGACACCTTGTTAGCATCGTGCTTGTGGGTGTGTTAGCTAGCTGACATTAGCATTAAGCTCATAACAACACTGTGCCTAAGTAAAGCCTCAGAGATGTTACACAATCAAAGTTGTTTTTGTGAGTGTGACTGTGTGTGTGTGAGTGTGTGTGTGTGTGTGTGTGTGTGTGTGTGTGTGTGTGTGTGTGTGTGTGTGTGTGTGTGTGTGTGTGTGTGTGTGTGACATACCATGTGTGAGCTCTTGGCAACTTTTCTGGTGTTCCCCACTGCTCGATGGTGAACAGCTGAGGTCCGTTAGAGCCTGGCAGAGAGTAATGATAATTATGATATCTCAGTTGATATAGTAATACTCTAACCTCTTGATAAAATCAGTACATGAAACCATTGCCAGATTAATCAGATATACATAATATTACTCACACAATGTTTCAGCAGATATCATATCTTACATTTTTGTATCAGTCTTCAACATGTATCTCTATGTGCACAGTGATAGTAACTCAATTCTTGGAAGTGCAGCTGTTGACTTGTGTCACTGCTAGATAGAGTACAGGCCATGCGGTTTAAACAGATAATATATACTTTTAAAGAGGTGGTACCTGACATAAAGGAAACATGGAGTTATCTGGTGAGGTAACTTACCATAAAGCTCAGCAAAACCATTCATGGGCACTCGAGACGTTCCTGTAACAAACTGGAGGAGTCGGATCCTCTTTTCAGCATCCATCAGCAAGACCACCTGCACACAGAAACAATCTCTCAAAAGACTTGATCGACACTTCACAGAATTCAATAATCAGATAGCCAAACCAGCAAAAAGGTTATTTATATGATACTTTGTCATTTCTATAACTAAAACAGAGCTGTAACAACTAATTAAACAGACAAAGAAAAAAAAAATGGGATGAAAGATAAACGTAGAGTAATTTTTATGGAAAAATGCCAATTTCCGCCTCTACTGTGCATTTTAAGATCTCCCACTTTTCTCTAGTTTATATAAACTCAATATCTTTGGGATTAAGGCTTAAAAAACAAGACAACTAAAGATATCATCTTGGACTCTTAATTTGTGTTTAAATAATTATTAATCAGGACAAAAATTGGCAGATTAATGAAAATAATTGCTAGTTGCAGCCATAAACTACAGATCTAAGTATGATGCAATTACTCAAAACATCAAAGCTTTTGTTGACAGTTTTGAAACCTAGCTTTTCTCTGTGTGTGTGTGTGTGTGTGTGTGTGTGTGTGTGTGTGTGTGTGTGTGTGTGTGTGTGTGTAAGAAAAGCATTCTAACAGAGACAGTTGGAGCCAGTTCTGTAATCAAATGACATGACACTGATGTCTGTGTGTGTACGCATGTAGACAACTCATGGCGTTGTGTGTGTGTTGTTTGCTGTGTGTTTGCTTTAGTGTACGTGTGTTAAAGTGAAGGCAGATGATAACAGAGCAGCCACTACCTCAATCTCTTTCATCAGAGCAAACAAGCCCGTTCTTCCAAACAGACTTTGACCCTTAAAAAAGCCAGGCCAGTAAAACCTGTTGCAAGCTTCAGGGAAAAAGACAACTGATGCAAATGTAGCTTTTAGAAATTACCCACATTTCATGAGCGACAGGTGGCTGATAGATTACTCAATGTGTGTGTGTGTGTGTGTGTGTGTGTGTGTGTGTGTGTGTGTGTGTGTGTGTGTGTGTGTGTGTGTGTGTGTGTGTGTGTGTGTGTGTGTGTGTGTGTGNGGAATGAATAAGCATCACATGTTTGTTTTGTACGAGGGAGTATTAGGGCCACACTTAGAAGAAAAAAAACAGAGATTTCGAGAATAAAGTCGTAATAATACGAGAATAAAGTCATAGTTACGAGAATAAAGTCGTAACATTATGAGAATAAAGTCATAATTACGAGAATAAAGTCGTAATATTACGAGAATAAAATCGTAATGTTATGAGAATAAAGTCATAATTACGAGATTAAAGTCGTAGTTTCATAAGTGACTTGAGAAGGGGACTTGGAGGAGATTGTGTCACACTCCTAGGTTTATGTCACGGTTTTAGTGTTGTCTGTCTGGTTATGGGTTTTGTAAGTCTGTTAATTCGGTGTTTTGTCTTCCTCCTTGTGTTTTGTCTGGTCCTCCTCCCTGTCGTTAGTTTCCCTGGTGTGTCTGATTGTCTCATTGTGTTCACCTGTTCCCCTTGTGTTTCTCCCTCCCCTGCCCAGTTGT